GGGGGGGGGGAATGAAGTGGGGGGGCGGGGTGGAAGAATGAAGTAGGGGGGGGATAAAACCCTGTGAGTGGTGGAGGAGCCAGAGGTGGTGTTGGTTTGAGTGGTATGTGAATAGATTTCTGAATAGAGGGGGAGACTTCATGTTAGGTTAACTTTTAGATCCATGTTTAAAAAAACTGATAGTGAGATGTTTGAAAAAAGAAGTTTTCACAGATGTTCGTTTGGAAGAGCTGACCTGGCTGCTGACGACCCCGTGGACCCAGCACCATGGGTCTACAAACTCCACTGTGAGGCGTACTCCTCTGCACTTCTATCATGTGTGTTTGACATGTTTGGCTCAACAAGTGAATTAAAGAACTTTCACCTGGTACGACTGAGTGTTCCTCATTTTGTTTTTGTGTCAGCTGTGTGATGGGAAGGCTTTTTGTTTTTGATCTTTAAAAGAGTTTCAACTCTGTGTTCAGTTGCATTAAGATCAGGACCACAGCAGGTCGACCTGTTCTGTCTGACTGGTGAGTTTGATGTGCTCTGCACGCTTCCAGCTTCTGGGATCGATGCTACATTACTCAACCTCTCATACGAGGAGGTGCTGGTTTTTTCTTTGACGGCTTCATTACTAATCGTTTTCTATCCTGTGAATAAACAATCTGTGACTCGTTAGCATGTTCTGTTCATGAGTGGGGCATCGTTATCATCTCCTTTTGTGGTCCTTGGTCAGATCTCGGCTGTATGAGTTGATCAGCAGCAGAAACCACCATAAATGGTTTTATGGTAAAGACACAGATAAGCCGGCTTTAGAGAACTGCAGCAGGCTGCTGTTGCAGTTTTATAACAGCCTGCACAGCCACTCAGTGGACAGTTGTTAGCTTCTGATTCAGGGGTTTTTCACACTGATGGTTTTCTGTCTTGCACAAAGCAAAACTAGTAGAAGAAAAAAGTTTACTTGTATCTTCTGACCCAGGAGGACGACTGCAGACTCATGGATGCTGATAAAAGCTGTCAAAGCAACATCAGACTACTTGGACAGTCTCTTGTGTGGTTCATACTGCAGTCTGGCTTCTTTCTCTCCTCATCCTGTCAGTATGCTGCAAATAAGGAAGCCATGAACATTAATAGGCTGATTATAACTTGTAAGGTGTCTGTGACACTAAATGAAGACACTAGTCTCATTTATCACGACCGCAGGATTACGAGTAAATGTTGAATCCAGTTCTTTGCCTCAGGAGGAGCGACTTACATGTGACAAGACCTTTAACATAACCCACCTGCCTCCAGCTCACCCTCACCCTGCCCTCCTTCACGGCATCCATGAACCTCCTCTGAGGGCTACATGTATAAAACATATATAAAGATTAACATGATCAGTGTGAAACATCACAGATTCAGTGGGCTGTTAGAGGTTTAATAAAATGAAAAGTAGCAGAAACCTTGAAAGTTAACTACAGTAAAAACGTGACGCTTCTCCCAAGAACAGCAGGACTCAACGGGGGGATTGTTTAGTGCACACGTATAGTTAACGTACTGTA